TTTAAAAAAATCATATATAAAAACTATATGAAATATACGATTACAACACACACAAATTATACAAAAATCAACTAATTAATTAATATTTTCAATTACCATTTTTAAATTCTTCCATTTTGTTAAATCGATTGGTATTATATAAATATTTCAATGCGATGACAAATTACTATATAATTAACATATAATATTGATATATAACATGTGAAACCAGCAACTGAGATAGTCATTTATAAAATTTTGACAATTAGAAAAAGAATTGATAGAAAGTCAACTCAATGGCATCCCACGTGGGATTTTAAAATCGGCTCGATTTAAACCTAATGTTAGCTTTAGAAATTCATTGGCAAGCCAAAATCGGGCCAATATACGCCCATGTTTATTGTGGCGGCCTGCGGCAACCACAAATTACGAAACATTAGCGCGACCCGCAACATGGCGGCTCACGCGCTCGCGTGTCCGCGCGTAGTGCGGGCGGCGCCGCTAGTCGGCGCAGGGCGCTCGGGCCAACCTGGAAGTGGAAAGCAGTCCGACGGGAATATAGGTCGGACCCCCTGCGGACACAAGACAACAAAAAAGGGCAGAAGAAAGCTCTAGACGCTAGCATTTAACAAGAAGAAAAGTTCCCGGCGCTAGACGTCGGACTTTACTCTCACCACGCCTCGAGTACAGAGCGGAACATCGACACCTCGGCCATCGGAGGTCGAGATCATCACGCGGCGCAAGACCCGTCCGATGCCGCTACATCTTACCTCCACTAAACGGAGAAAGATTGGCGCTCAGTCGCCTCCATCATCCGGCGCTCGGTCGCCCAGGACACGCGGCGCTCAGTCGTCTCCAGCATCCGGCGCTCAGCCGCTGCAGACTCTCGACGTTAGTCGCCTCATCCTCGGCGCCAGTCCGCCACCAACCAAGGTCGGACAACCGGCTCCAGGAGCCCCGTTATCGCAATCTCTCGGGATCGCCTCCCGTACAGCTCCGGAAAAAAGAAGGACACCAAGGCACGGCTGCAATCGCTGTTCGGTGCTAGCCCGCCGGCAACCAGCGTTAGCCCGCCAAAGGCCATCCTCGGGCATCCCGGTTCGGACATTACCAGAGACCGACCAATCACTCCGGACATCGGGCGAAAACGGAGTACCACACCTCCGATTCGGTGATACACTCCCCACCTCATCTCGCCGCTGCAAAGGACGTCACAGAAGGAAAGCATCGCCACACAGACGAGTCCCCAGAAAATCTGCGTCAACGCGGCGACGCAGACAAAGAGACGTGGAGGAAAAGCGCACAAAAGACTACTCAATAATAATAACCAAATGTGCAATCGTAATTCTAACAAGGAGAATATTTACAAATGTAAGAAGGAAATGGAGAGAACCAAATAAATTATTATTTTTACAGTGATAAAAATATTCATTTCTCTACCTATGTGATTAATTATAACTTCGGGTTACGAACGACGCAAACGAGTAACGTTAAACTACACCCATTAACCAGCTGACCCATACCCTACATAAAAATAAATTTATTTATTTTTATTTTGTACAGCATAAATGAGATACATAATAAGTTATTTTCTTTTTCTATTTAACTATAATGAAATACAACACATGTACATACAAAAATACACATAATTAAATACTTTTTCTATTTATAAGATACACAATATCTCATTTATATTCTACAAAATAAAGATGAATAAATTAATGATTAAATTAATAATTATTATTATGTAGGAAGACGAAAAAAGAAAAAATAAAAGTCGAACAAATAAAAGAATATAATAATGGGGATGAAAGAATACAATAAAGAACGAGCAGAGGGAGAGAGAGATTGATTGATCTTTATTAGCTTTCTCACAGCTATTTGTAATACAAATCTAGTTTACATTAATTACAATATACTCCTTTAACATTCGCTTAAACGGCAATATCCTCAGCTTGTCGTGTTTGCCTTTCACTCTCATTTTCCACAATTTCTAATCTATTTCTTAATTGCTTCGGTAACATGTTCCTTAAAATCTTAAAAATAAATATACACACATTTTAATATAGCCTCTGTTTTATGGACATAAACTACAGCGCTTGCAGCATACGCTCAACTTTGGTATGTCTATCACATTGCAATATGATCCTCATGGCCCGGTTTTGTGCTTTTTGCAACTTACTCAGCTGTGTTTCTCCCATATCAATTAACAGCGTCGCACAATACTCAAAGTGAGGTGCTATAATTGTCTTATATACAACACATCTAGTGTATGCCGATATATAATTACCTATTCTATTAAAAAAACTCGTTTTTTTCCCTATTTTCTTTAGCATATAATCACAGTGGTCCTTAAATCGTAGTCTATCGTCAATAATTATGCCTAGGTATTTCATTATTTCCACACGTTCAATCTCAGTTCCATCCAAACATTTCAATGTTATATTACCTCGCAGTTCTTTTCTTATACTTCTAACAATCATATATTTCGTTTTTCCTGCATTCATTTTTAACTTATTTATATTCATCCACTCTTCTACTATAGTAAATGCCATATTCATTTTGCTCTCTAATTCCGCGCTGCTTTCTCCAGTTACATATATTAACGTATCATCTGCAAACATATGTATACTACATCCTTCTAAACAGATTTTTATTATATCATTTATATATACTATAAATAACAAAGGTCCTAATACAGATCCTTGCGGTACTCCATATTCTGTGGTCATTAATTTAG